TTACATCTAAAAACAGAAAAAAATATGACTTTAGAGACTGCGCAATATATATCAGGAGAGGGGTTTAGAATCCAGGGGGGTGGGGGCAACATCTAATTTTATGTGCTTAAAGCAGTTAAAGAGGGGGCAACGTCTAAAATTAAAATTTCGTTTGCGAGGGGGGTAGTAATTAACTTTTTTGATTTTTCGCATGTTAGTGAACAATGGTAGTAAGCATGATGTGCGCCTCTCGCACGCGAATGAACAAATCTAATTTGGAGGTATTGTATAGACTTTTGCAACTAATATTATACTTGGTCAACAAGGAGGGGGCGCAGCATCAAGAAGACAAAAAAAGACTGGAAATCGGTGATGAAAACATACAACATCAAATTTAAAAATCGTCTTCATAAGTACTTGTCAAATGAATAAAGCCCTTCAACTTCACCTGGTTTAGACAATTAGTTTAAAATCGTTTACCGCAATTATTGCATGAAATGCTAAATTGTATCAGCTTCCGAAAACTGCCAAATTTACAGCGACTATATTTAGAAATATTGAAAAGATGTTTAATGCAAGAATGAATGTTATAAAGTTTGTCGATTAATTAAAATTTGGCGTTTCTTGTTTGCACCATGAAAGACGAATGACTAATTTGCTTTACAAAATGAAAACCATCATGGCGGGCTATTCAATGGCAGTTTTCTGCGAYGCCATTTTCCGCAGCAAAGCATGATGGGAGCCTGTGTTCCTCGCATTTGTTCATGTCCACTGAAACAACTCTCATAAGCTATTTTTACTTTGTCTTTGTATTCAAAGCCACAGTAGATGTACACATCACCTATTCAAAATTCACCTTTCAGGAGAGAAAGAATATTTACAAAGATATTTTAGATTTCAAAGTAATCGTTTTGATTTCAAATACTCGCGAGAGATATCTTGGTCTTAAAGCTTCAAAGCGCTTCAGCAAATTAATATTAATGTTAATAAGATGACTCTTMAAAACAGTATATTTGACATTTTAGATACATCGAAAGTTGTTGAAAGTTACAAACATGTCACGTGACTAACCTGGCACTCTCTCCTTGTCAAGACCGTATTCTGCTTTGTACAGATGTACTTTACCATCAGACATAAACTCCAACACAAACTCTTGGTCATTCTTTGTTTTCAACATCAAACCAGAATGAGAAAGATTACGAACTTGAAAATCATTTGCAAACGATGTGAGACGCCTCTTGATTAATGACTTTAGATATATCAGGAGAGGGGTTTAGAATCCAACTTTAAAGTGCTACTTGCATGAAAGTGCCCTTATTTAAAAATTTCAAGCAAGAAATTTGATGGAAGAACAAAAGGATGGAGTAAATAACCTCATTTACTCCAAAATATTTTGCCCAAATTATTAAGATTTTGTATCAATATCCTCTTGAAATCTGTTGCTTCATGATTATTATACCCATAAGTAAGTAACACTACTTTGAAGACTTTTGAAGGTGAGAATTATTTATTCCATTTTTATTCCGCGAAGTGAGCAGACGTAATACTAGCTTCCAAGAACACTATGCCATAAAATGAACAAGTATAGCACCCCCCCCCCTCCCCCCCCGGGGTATAGCATAAGGTCTCATTGCCTTAATCGTACTGGGACTAAATCGAAAAACCAAATGTTTCTCGAGTTTCTTCTTGCCTAGTACGAAGCGGTGTAGCTGTCACGACCGTTAAGCGTGCAATGGTAGAAATCTTTTTTCACACCTATAGACAATTATTCACAGGTATCTATCATTGCAAGCTCAACGGTCGTCTCGCTTTGATGTAAAGGCACGGCTATACCTTTCAAGATGGCGCAGGGAACCGTGAAGAAGACTATTAACTCTAACTCTGTAGAGCACCCTAACCCTTAGAGTAAAGCTCCCCCTCCCACCCACCCTCCTCATCATAAATATTTGCACGAGTCGTGCCGCACGAACCGCAGTTGACGAGAAAGGTGATGCGAGGTCAAACCGCTAGTTACACCATCCATTCCATTCACATTTCATACATTKTTATACATATGTTATACACCTATTTCAAAACACGTCGGAGAGAAAGGCGAGTGTTAATTGTCGAACGGAGATTGCACGAACGAAAGGAGCAATGGCTAATCGATGAGAACTACTAACAGATTTTTACCGTTGGAAAGTTTGTGGTAAACACTTGCTCCATTTAATGTCCGTTTGAACTAAATTCGTCCAAAAATTATGTATGTAAAACAGCGCAACCATAGTCCCTTTCGGTCATGCAATCACCCTTCGACAACGCTCTKCCCGACAACCTTTTATGAAATAGATGTATCGCATAATTGATTTTTTTAAGATGCTTTTTTTGACGGTATGGTAGCTGAAAAATGTTGWGTTCTTGTCTAAACTGTCTCGCACAAGGTACCTCTAACTTACATGAATCCATGTTGTGTTATTCTCGCTTGTTTACGCAAAAAACTGCAATGATAAAAGATGAAGTTAGACTAACGTAAATCAATACGACTGAATTTTGAGACGCACGCTGTAATGAACGGMACGACCAAACTGGGATCAAATTATAAATAGATCAAACATGGGCGATGCTTTATCCATTAGGGTCCAACCAAACACCATCAKATATCATAATTCAACAACAAATTTCCCTCCACTCTCATTGGTCGAAAATCGAACACATGACGCGATAGCGCCCACCGTGGAGGGATACTATAAGTGCATAGAGCAAATCGCTTCAAAAATTTTTTTATGAATAATAAAAGCAAAAGAGAAGTTAAAATCTCGATCATTTTGCTGTGATAGTTGCCCTTGGAAACTGGATATTCCTCAAAGCATCATAGTATCAGTTTTTGCGGGCAACTATCACAACTTTATGGCCTCGATTCAACTACTCCATTGTTTAAAAATAGGTGGACGACATAATATCGCCCAGCAATTATCGTTGCTTGACAAAAACGCTTTGAACATGCATGAATAAAAGTAGGCTCTACTACTAAGTTCTAAAACTACAGCGTTTATTTGAACAACGATGGAATCGAATCCATATCCCCACGGCATTTTGTCTGCATTACAGACTGGACACTAGTTAAAAAACATCGACTCCCGCGTTTTCAATAGTTTATATGGACGTGWTATGGACAATATGATTCACAATATGAATGTCTGTTTTTGCTTTTTTCCCCCTCTTTGCTCATTTTCGTAAATCAAATCGCACAGTTAACTCTCGTATGGAAATATGCYTGGAAAAAATCAAATTTCTAGCTCAAGCATTTCAATTAGGTCTAGTTTAGTAATTTACTTATAAAAACAAAACTCTGCAGACTAGTAAATATATATGAAGAGTTTTTTTAACAATGATGAAAACGATTTTTGAGCTTATTGGCTAAATGYATTAATTGTTTTACTCAAAGTTTTTCTTGTTAAAAGGAGGAGATCAAGAAAAATTAACTACGAGGAAACTTAAACTCTAAAACATACCTCTAAAACAACAAAGCAGATCTATTTTCCACTTGCACCAWTCAAAAAGTTATTAATTGATTCTTGTTTCCAAATAGCTGAACTTATAGCTTAAATGGTGAATAYCGAAGACCTTTGAATAACGTAGTGTTTTCTCGGRCGGCTTCAAAAGGTCGCAAGTGTAAAAGCATATCAAATCCTGCGTAGAAGATGCATATTGATACAACAAATACCAGCTTGATATCGATTTTAATTGCAACAGCAGCAACTATTCCTGACAGATCACTGTTTGAGGTCTTTTAGAAAAATCTCTGGATTTTTTTGAAAAAATGATTTGAAGTCTTGGAGGGGTAACAARTTTAGCAGTGACTTTTGGTAAACCCATTTCAACAATACGTTTTCCGAAGTGTCAAAAATTTTCTAGATTTCGTTGTACGACAGTTCGGCTTCCAAAGGCGGTACCGACTATGACTCGATATGGGGCATGAAGAGAACTCACGCCCATCAACTTCAAAACCACAAGACTTAATTTTGCCTCGTATCATAAGCTTCCAGCCAATCACAGAACTCAAATTCACCTAGTAACTATTTAAGCAATAAACAACACATTTTCGTGCTTTCCTGGTGAAATAAACCACGCGGGTTGCTGGGGGAACACGAAAAGGACGTAAAAAATCTTGAGCCGGAGGCGAGAGACTTTCAGCCCTTTGAGTAGTTTATTTCACCAGGAACGCACGAAAATGTGTTGTTTATTGCTTTTATATTATAGCATTTCCGCATCCGTGCATTTACCGGTGAAAAAAACAAACAAACAAACAAACAAACAAAAAACAACACTAACAACAAACAAACAAAAAAACATTTGACCAAACAGAGAGCGCGCAATATGATAGCTATAATATATACTTTTTATTATTGTACCCAGTCCCTATCCATTCCCTATCGAAATCTACCAATCCACAGTAACAGCATAGACATCAACATTGCATACATTGGAGACCAACTTTAGTTAAAGAGCGATATAGAAACCAACTGAATTCCGCAACCAATAAGAGAAGAAACGAAAAAGGAAACTACGTTAAAGACGAATATAAAACGTTCTGAATTTTAAGTTAGGGCAATGAAAAAAATGTAAACCCTAACGTAAGGCATAACCAATTRCAAAATATCATAGATTTCTCAGTGATAATATGATTGGTTTTTTTTAGATTCATTGGTTTTACTCCCTTTGAGGTTTAGACAAAAAACGAACATTCTGGCTATAGTTTTCTATGACAAAGCTGGCAATAACAAAGCAAAACGACTTTTCTCCAGCGAGGGACAACAGTTCTTGACAACTCACTCCCTTACAAGTACCATAAACAAGTTTGACAGATTTGCCACGAAAAACCATGATTTCTAGTTTGATTAGAATTTTGTCTTGAGGCGAATGTAGACCGATTTCTATGCGAAGTACATTTGATCCAGAAAAACTGATGGAATACTTCGATGTTCTATGATTGTCACCATCGATTCAAAGCCTCTCTGTACTGTCAGCAATTATGTCCAGCAAGTTTAGATTAATTATCAAGTATTTCCCTTTGGTTGTTTGACATTGAATACTTTACTGGCAGTGAGGATATTTTCTGATTTTTTTAAATATCTTTTTTATATTTGTTGATATTTGTTAATAAAGTATTTTGACATCTTCTAAAATGAAGTGAGAATATTTTCGTTATCCTACTCATAGCTTAGTATCTTGATATCTATTTATGTGCGAGATACACACCCCGAGGAACTTTACGAAAAAGAACAAAACATTGTGTGGCCTTGCGATGAGGTATCGTTACAAACCTTGSCAGATGTGTACYAYTGCATGACTTAACCCTAGTAAGCTATAGCAGAAATGAAATATAATCCAAGAAACTTCACATTGTACTGAACAAACATTAAAAAAAGCATTATTGCATTGTAGACAATATTCTTGACATTTTGAAATCTACTATATTGCAAGCCAGTCAGACCTCCGATTAAATAGTTGAAATACGCGTTCACGTCATTCCTTGCTAAGAAAAGAAATGAAAAGCACTATGTAAGTGTGCGTTGAAATCCCATTCATTTGAAGCTCTTCAGCTTCACCTGCAAACATTTTCATTGAAAAAGCCACACCCGGTGCAGCTGATCAACGCAGACTAAGCGAACTACGACAGATTGTGGTTCTTAATGATTTTATGTTAACTGAAGGCTCTTCGTCTTTAGAGGAAAAGTGTGTAGAGACGGAGCAAGCACATCTTATTGTTGTATTTTGATTGGATGTCAACTCTGACCCCCGGCACAGCAGACCGCTGCCCCTCCTAATGAGTCTGCATATTGTCGGCCTCTGAAAGAGCACTAGACGTGTAGATGATTCATATGCAAACCAGATGACCGCTCGAAAAACAGCAGGACTACTCGATTACCTTAGGGTAAATCATGTACTAATTATCATGTACTCTCTTTCGATTGTGAAGAATACTAGTGCTACAGGCGTTCTTTCTTTTACATCTGTTATTGATAATTATAGATTTTATGATAATAAACAAMCCGCCCCATTGTCATCAGTTATGATCTCCCTGAGTGATGTCCTCATTTACTAGTTGAAAATGACTTTTTAGATYAAGATAAATCATACACATTTCCATATAATAGGTAAACCTTGACCTGAAATAGTGATACCTCAAAAATCTAGCAAATCAGTATCAGAAAAAAGAAGAGTTGTTTGAAACTAATCTCGTTATTAAAAGCGCCAAAAAAGACGGC